GATCAAAGGTCTCCGGCTTGGTAAAGCCCCAGACATGAAAGGCATCCGCGCAGAGATGCTTAAAGGAGGCACAGAGGAACTCAGAGGTGCACTTCTCCACCTCTACAACACGATCCTGCAGCGCGAAGCCCCGCCGCCGGCCTGCTGGAAGAGCACAGTCATCACAGTCATACCAAAAAGTGGAGATCTCGCGCTTCCACAAAACTACCGCCCCATTTGCACGATACCATTGTTGTAGAAGCTCTTCAGCCGACTACGTTGCAACAGGCTACAACCGACGCTGGACTCACACCAGACTGCCGACCAGGCGGGCTTCAGACCAGGCCACTTGACCACTGACCGCCTCTTTACCTTCCATTTATTGCGCGAGCTCGCAAACGAATGGAGCCCAAACCTCTGGGTCGCAGCACTTGACTTCAAAAAAGCTTTCGATTCAGTTGAGCACAAGAGCATATGGGCAGCACTGAAGGCACAAGGGGTCCAACCCGGATGCGCTGCACTACTCCAACAGCTTTATGAGGGACAGACAGCCACGGTGAGGAAAGACGTCGGCAGCAGACCCTTTAGCCTCCTGCTGGGCACGAAGCAGGGAGACCCACTCAGCTCCCTACTCTTCAACGCTCTTCTACAATACATTATTGGACCGCTGGTTTCCGAATGGCAGCAAAAAAAGGAAGGGAGTTGAATTGGGATCCACGAGCACCGCCACGCCGAGCAACCTACGCTTCGCCGACGACGTGCTCCTGACCAGACAAACTCTCCCGCGCCTGACAGCGATGCTTGACGACAATGTGCGCGCGACGAGGCTACACGGGCTCGAACTACACCCGAGCAGAACCAAAACACTGAGCAACCAGACGAGAAGGACCGGAAGGGCGAGCTCACGCACAGCACGTTTCCAAGACATGGATATAGAAATCGTTCCATACGAGGGTAGTATCAAATACCTCGGCCCATTAATCAGCTTCCACGAACCGATGGAAACGGAAATCCACCACCGCACGCGAGCTGCATGGGCATCATTCACGTCTCGCAAGCAGGAGTTGACCAGCAAACACTACCCACTGGCTCACCGACTCCGACTTTTCAACAGCACTGTAGCACCAACAATTTATACGGAGCAGAGACGTGGACCCTCACGGAGCCTCTACGGCAGCATCTTCGACGGACACAACGAAGCATGCTTCGCATGATCATCAGAACGCCACGGAGACGCACAACGAAAGAGGCCGGCTCTCACAGCGGCCAGGGACCTAATATTGACCTCGCGAACAACGAAGCACAAGACCACGAAGACCGCACCGACAGCACTAGCGACGACGCAGACAGCAACCCATCATAGTGTGATGCACTTGACACGCCTGACAAGCACAGCGAAGACTGCGAAGACAGCACCACCGCAGACGAAATGAAACCATGGGTCGACTACATCCAGCGAGCGGCACGACGCGCAGAGCACCACATGAAGCTCCACCGCATTGACAATGATGAGACGCTGCGCATGCGGAAAGTATGGCGCACGCCAGCGGGGACACAGGCAGCACGGTGGCCAAAACAAGCGCTGGGTCGACGAAGTCACCACTTACTTACGTCAACGCAGACCTGACCTCCACCGACCGCCTAGGCAAGACCACTCGAAAGGACAGCCGAACGACATCACATGGGCGCTAACAGCCCAAGACACCGAAGCATGGACAGCGCTCGAGCACCACTTCGCCGACCTCACGTCGACCAGCACCCGGGTTTCAGACCAATGACGTAAAATCTTTGCGAACGTCGAGACGTCTCGCCCAACCTGCGCCGACACTGACACCAAGGGTTTTCTTTTCCTCCTCCTCTCCTTTTCCTCCTCACTTTTTACGTGTCTCGCATTGCACGAATCCAGACATCTCAGATCCTAGAGGCCATGGCCTCACCCACCTGGTCTGATCTAAGCCCGGACGCTGTCCGCAACGGTGGTCGCATCGCATCGCATCGCCCTACGGGGCCACGAAACGTGGGAGGGGTGTGCCGAAGCGGGCGTGACGCCCACATGCATCGGCACATGCGAATTGCACCACTGTGGGTTTCGGTGGAGCTCCCTTTGGGGCCACGAATCGCGTGAGGGGTGTGGGCATGGCGCCCATATGCGAACTGTGCCACTGGGACCTTCGGTGGAGCTCCCCATGGGGCCAGTAAGCGTGTGAGGGGTTTGCCGAAACGGGCGTGACGCCCTCATGCGAACTGCGCCACAAGGAATTTCGGTAGAGCTCCTTTTAGGGCCACGAAACGTGTGAGGCGTGTGGCGAAGCGGGCGCGACGCTCACATGGGAACTGCGCCATTGGGACCTTCGGTGGGGCCCCCTATGGGGACACGAAGCGTGTGAGCACTGTGCCGAAACAGAGACGATGCAGGGATGGGAGGAGGGAGCAGTGGGAGGGGGAAGAAAGAAGCGAACGCGGGGCGCTGTCTCTTCAAGACGACGACCAAACAGCACAGGATGGTGGTGAAAAACCATGCAGAGTGATCGCGGGGAGCCCGCGCATGATCCAAATGGTGTTTCGAAGTGCATGTTGTACTGTTCGGTTATAGGGATGGAAGCCCTGCGCGCAGCAGGCAAAATGCGGGCACCCCCGCCGTCGTTGTCAAACAAACCATACAAAGTGCTCGCGCCACCCCCGATCATGACCCAAGATTTTGCCCGAAAGTGCCCCAAAACATGCGAACACAGCCATTCGGGCCTTCGGTGGGGAGCTCCCTCTTGGGCCACGAAACGTGTGAGGGATGTACCGACATGCGTGATGAGTGGCGGGGTCGCACGCGAATGCCGCTTTGGGGGCCTTCAGTTGAGCTCCTTATGGGGCCACGAGACGTGTGAGGGGTGTGCCGAACCGGTTGACGGGGGCGCATGCGAACACCGCCTTCGGGGCCTTCGGTGGAGTTCCCTGTGGGGCCACGAAACGTGTGAGGTGTGTGTGTGTGTGTGTGTGTGTGTTTGCGTGTGTGAGTATGTGTGTGCTGAGCGGGCCCGGCTTCCTCTCTTCCCGTTGCGCTGGGGTCTCCTCCTCTCCTCCTTGCACTGCGGCTCAATTTGCATCCAGCGCGCTTCACTGATGCCCGACCGCCGGAGCAGCAACATATGCCCAGACGCCGACGCAAAACATGTATGTGTGTGTGTGCGTATGCCGAAATGGGCGGCGGGGACGCACGCAGACATCGCCTCTGGGGCCTTCGGTAGGGTTCCTTACGGGGCCACGAAGCGTGTGAGGGGTATCCGAATCGGGCGCGGGGGCTCCCTTTGGGGCCACGAATCGTGTGAGGTGTGTGTGTGTGTGTGCCGAAATGGGTGGCGGGGACGCATGCGAACACCGCCTCTGGAGACTTCGATGGACCGCCCCATGGGGCCACGAAAGGTGTGAGGCGTGCGCCGACATGGGTGGCGGGGACGCATGCGAACACCGCCACCAAGGCCTTCGGTGGAGCTCTTTCGGGGCCACGAAACGATACATGCGGTGTGCCAACATTGTAGATTGATGCGAATAGCAGAGGCACGCAGGGGAGGAGGGAGGAGGGGGAGGGTGAGGGGGAGGTGAGGTGGGACGCGGGGCGTTGTCTTTTTCAAAACGAGAAGCCAGCACCACAGGATGAAACAAAACACTGCAGAGTGATCGCGGGGGGCCCGCGCATGATCCAGATTTTGTTTCGAAGTGCATGTTGTATTTGTTTGCTTACAAGGATGCTGGCCCTGCGCGCAGCAGGCAAAATGGGGGCAACCCCGCCGTCCTTGTCAAAAAACAATGCAAAGTGGTCCCGCCACCCCCTATCATGACACAAAATGTTGCCCAGAAGTGGATTACATATTGTTTTTTGACAGGGAAGCGGGGGGAGGGCCCTCGTTGGTCCTGGTTGGCTGCCCGTCGCCTGGGGTGGTGGTGTTTGTTCATATGGAACAATGATTAAACCCTTCCCCCAAGCAGAGTAAGGAGGGGGAGAGCAGACAAAACTCGATAAACCACTCACGCCTCAAAAGGCTGGTGGGACTTGAACCATGGGAGCTCTTGAGGGAGCTCTTGACCGGGTCTAGTGAGGTTGTGTTGTCGTCGCGTTTCGTTTCTTCTGGGTGGCCTCGAGTGGCCAATCGTGAAAACAAAAACGGCCGTCATGCTTTCTTTGTTGCCACGCCTAGATGTCCCCCAAAGTCTCCCCAGCCTTTCCCCGAGGTACGTCCTGACCAGGACGAATGTAGCCGTGGTGGTGAGGGTCAATGCGTGCCGCCGAAGGCACAGCAAGCATGTCCTGATAGAGTTTGGTTTCGCCTGAAGGGCAGTGTGGTGCTGAGATGTCGCACGTTCGAGACCTCTGGGCATGCCCTGGCGCCTTCGGATGATATATGGAGGAGGCGAATGGCGGGTAGGTCTAGCTTGAGATTCCCAGGCCACAGGTCTCTCTGAGTTTTTCTGTGTACATGTACAAGTTCATCTGTCATAACATCGAATGGTTGCTTCATGGTACTTCGATGGGGCACTGAGGTGCGGGTGCTCATTCTGTCTGGCCGTCCTCTGGCGCATTCCATTTCCTGCAGCGCCAGCACGGCATGTCGCATTTCCACAGGACAGTGGCCAGGCCCTGGGCCGCGGAGGGGGAAGTTGGTGGACGTTTTGCCACAACCACATCGGCAGCGTCCTGATTCAAAATGCAAAGCCAGTTGCCAACGACGATTGTTGATTCAACCATTCGTCCATCCACCCGCCAGCCATCCATTCTTATATTCGCATTTCATCCATCCATTCGATCTGGCAAATTAGGTCCCCGTAAAGGTGCGAAGATAACCGCGGTTCGCGCACCGAGAACTGGGCCTGAGAGTTTGATCTTCGCCAGGTGGGCGCGAGGGCGCGCGGGGGCGAAGATAGCCGCGGGGCGCGGGGCCGCGAAGTTGGGGGACCCAAGCCTTTCACCCACTCGGCTGGTCCGTTCCCCCCGCTTCTCCTGCTCGAGCGCGGCGCCCCATTTGCCCCAGGAGTTCGTCATCGGGTTCTCCCCGACGTGAATCCAGCGGGCCCTCGCGCAGATCGGCTTCTTGCCGAACCGGGCGGCGGGTGCGGAACACGGCGGCGTTCGACCGCTGGCATTCGCGCTGCGGTGTCACGTCAGTCGCGTGAGTCTCCTCGATCGTTCAACTTGTGGGAGGGCACGTTATTGATGTCGATGCCCGTCCCTCGTCGCCACAGCTGGGTTCGCTTACAACTCCTGTTCAGAGCGGATCCAGGGAGAAGTGCGGAAACCAGAGTTATCGGCATCTGTCTGTCTCTCCCTTAGCCATTGATGCTCGTGATCTCTATGCTGCTCCTGTTCCTTCTCCTTCATGGCCACATCCGGTAGAACCATTTGGGCTCGATATCTTGTGACTCTGGCACACGCAAAGTCCACAGTGCTTCACTCTGCCCCAGAATGTCTTTGGAGACTCACGAGGTTCGCATCTTGGAGACTGCAGAGGAAGTCTGGGAGCTCCTCTGCGGGAGACGTGTGCTCCACGTCAAGGGCTTCGGTAGCGGCTTCGGGGACGTCCCCAAGGAACAGATGAGCGCGCAGGGGCAGCAAGACGAGGCCGCCGTCAAGGCCATCAAACGATTCCGCCCGGACTACTTGGTGGTCGACGGCGATCCTTGGGGCAGCGGCTTCCAGCGGTACATCAAGGCTTACGCAGAAGCACAGGTGCGCGGTGGGCTGGCGGTGCCAGAGCTCGTGTGGGTGAAGAGCATCAAGGGGAGCTCGCCCACCCCCGAAGAGCGAGAGAAGAACTATAAAAAGGCATGCGAGTGGGCGGGCCAGGGGCTCGCCGTGTCTGTCTCGTGGCTGGCAGAGGCTACCATCTCCGCGGGCGTGGATCGGCTGTTTGGGGCTGGCTGCTGGGAGAAGCTGCAGGGGCAGAAGTTCGACTTCAGAGGCGCCGTGCGGCTGCTGGAGGCGGCCGAGCCCGACAGGCCCGAGTGGCTCCGTGGGCTGAGACGCACCGCACCCGGACGTGAGATGTACTTGGCCATCGAGACCGTAGAGAGCAGGTCCGAAAATCGGTATTTCGAGAAATGTAGTTTTGAGAATGTTGCGAAGGGCAACTCGATCTACCAGCACCTGCGGGGCGAGGGCCGCGAGCCGGCTGTGCAGGGAGCCGTGAGCTTCGGTGGCGGCGAGAGCGTGCTGCTGGAGTTCGCGACTCTCTACCTCTTCCCCGGCTCCGGCTTCGACGCGGGCCAGGCCGCGCTCTTCCCGTTTAGCCGCGGCAGGCCCAGTGACCCCACGCTGCCTTCTCACGAGGGCCGCGCCTTCATATCGGAGGTTCAGAGCAGAGCGGAACTCCAGAACAGTTTGGACCTGGTTCTTCAAGGACTGCGCCATCACAGCACTCTCAATCTGATTTGCTCTCCGTGGTGTGGGGCTGGCGCTTCCGAAGCTCAGAAGGCGGCCGCCCAACTGGCTGCGACAATACAAGAGAGCAACACTGACATCAACAAGTCTGTGTATACCTTCAATCCGAACCAGGAGTTGTGTCATCTCACACTTGATCCTAAAGAGCGTCCGGAGGAGTGGATTCAGATGTGGCTTAAGGTGCTTGCACTATGCAAGGAATGCAATGCCAAGGGAGGCGACTCAAAGGTGTATGTGCTGCGTCACGCGCGGCGCGGAGTCTCGAACTATAGCCAGCTTGCCCAACTCGACGAAGCCACGAAACTTGGCTTCACGGAGAAAAAAGGGAATCTCCATTTTCTGACCTACAGCGACGATGTTGTGAAGCAAAGGATCAGCACCTACTAATTGTGTGTCATTGTCGCTCATGTGTCCGTCTCTGCGGATATGCCGAGATCCACGCTGGTTGCTGTTCTGCTTCGGACTGTCAGCCAGTGACAGGCGGCTTATGACCGATCAGTGTCACCGGTGGTCTGCGGTTTTGAACTCGAATCGCCTTCGAAGAGGATGCGTTGGCCAGCTTAGCGGTGCCCTGGGTATTTTGTTTCATGAAGACGGCATGCTCTCTTGCACAGTTCACCTCGAGGCATGGCCCAAGCCGAAATATTGTTCCAGCTTGGACAACTCTTGAACGGTTCGAGTAGCGCCACAGGTTGTGTGGTATCCAGCTCCCTGTGACGAACCCCAACGCCTTGCCAGCGCAGCAGTGCATAATGAAGGAAGTTGATTTGAAGACCCGTTCCAGTTCAGCGCCCTGTCTGAATCTGGGTCGTATGCACACCTCCTTGTCCGCAGCCTTGTTCAATGATTCTCTTTTTGTCTCCCTCATTCTCTACTCCCCTCCTTCCTGAAAACATATGAGAGGCTTATCGGACACCTTCTGTGGGCAACATTAGTGATTGGAATCCTATTGGGACTCTTTTGGGGCCGTCGTGGACAGTTCTAAGGACTTCTAGGGTCTCTCTGATGCGCTCCCGATGCGATTATTCAGCCGAAGCTCATCCGAAGAAACGTGAACATTTACTTCCCTTATGTACGTGTCTATTGGTTGTTGGCTCCTCTCCGCCTCAACGGACGCATCGTTAGGCGTCTCTTGTGGGCTTCTCAGGGCTCCGCGCAGCCTCTTGGGATAATATTGGAGCGTTCGCGGGATCGCTTGGCTGTGTTGGGCTGGTCCTCAGGCATCTTTGGGGCTTCTGAAACGATATTCGGAGTGCTTTGGCCTTCTAGCGGCCGAAGCCGGGCGCCAGGCAGCAATATTGACTAGGGGCGACTTCCTGGATACGCTTGATGCGCGGAGTGGGGTTGCCAGCCTTCGAAAGAACGACGGGAGCCGTACCAGACTTGCCAAAAGCATTATTTTACTCCATCCTCGTGTATTACAATGACGCCTCTAAAATCACAGTTCGCACACCAGTCACGACACCAGCCTGTCGGCTCGTGCTCCATGAAGAGTTCTTACTCCCCGATGGCCCCGCGGACTCGTTGAACGTGAGGGGCACCTCGCAAAGTTGAGTTTGACAAACCATGTGTGCCGAGACCTCTTGCAACGATCTCTTCACGTAGCACGTGTGCATAGAACACAGTTGATGTATGCATGCCTGCTAGCTCTTGTTGCTCCTGCTGCTGATGCTCCTCCTTCTGCTCGCGCTCCTCGATCGGCGCTCGCCCCTGTCCCTCGCCGTCTCATCCATCCGATCGCTGCTCCGAGGAATCTTGAGGGGCACGCCAACGACACACCGACACCGTTCCTGGCCACGCCAAGCCTGGGCCCAGGACCCAGAGAAGTCACCACGGACAGCCGCTCCTGATCCCTGGGCTTCGAGGCAACGGCCACGGCGAGTCCCTCAGGGCGGCCGCGGCGCGGGCTGCCCCCCTGCGCGGCAGGGAGCCCCGGCCCTCCGACGCCGTGTCACTCCATCTCGCCAGTACGAGCACCACAGGGTGGGGCACACGGGGCGTTCCCAAGAGGGCCACACCTTCGAGGGAGCGAGAAGTTGACATCTCGGCGCTGGAAGGTCGGCGGAAGGTCGGCGGAAGCAGCCGGCGGGCGCAGCCCCAGCAGGACGGCTGCAGCCCCGACCGGGGCGACCTGGGCCCACAGCGCCGCCGCGGGGCCCTCCCGCGGGGCCATCTCGATCCGATCGATCCGATTCGATATCGATGTCGGCCGGCCTGTTCCGACTCGGCTCTGATACTCCGACGATCTGGTACGTCCCGATGCTTGCCTGGCGCTTTTGTGCATCCTGGCGCCGCCGACTCGATTTCGATTTCGACTCCGTGCCGATGCGATCCGATCCAGCGCACATTCTGACTCGATCCGATTTCTCGATTCGATGTTGATGGACTCTGCCCTCGCGCAAGTTCTCCGCCAGGTCGCGTGCTGGGTTGCAGCCGTCAGGACGCACTACATAGTCCTGCTGGCGTTCACGCTCGCAGCGTACCTCCCCCGGCTCCTCGCGCCGCCTAGCCGCACCCCGCCGCAACCCGCACGGCGACTGCTGAGTCTGCCTGGCCCCAGCTCCATCCTCCTGGTCCTCCCCCGCTCACGAACCTCACATCTATACCTATACCCGTTTTCTCACGAAATTTGCGTCAGAGTAAGCCGCGTATCGCGTGGGCGACGGCGTTGTGAAAGAGTGCGCATCGCAAGCCTTTTGAATTGATTGTCTTTTCCTCTATTGGACGTAGGTGGTCGCAGCAGATGTCCCACCCTGTTGTGGAAACCAGGAAAACAAGGTATAGGTATAGATGCTTGTGTGCATGTTTCGCAAAATGTCTATACCCAACATTGCGGCAAGTTTCCGACATCGCTCACATCCGTGATTTCCTGGGGGCGCCACTGCAGCCCGCAGTAGCGGGGTGATGATGGGCGCGGTGACCGCATTGCATTTCCGCGGCTGGAGGCTTTTGCGGAGCGCTCAGTAGATTTCTTGCAAGCTTTTGCCAAGGCGAGACAGGTATGGGTATAGATGAATCCTTCGTCACCCTCCCCCATCTCTCTCTGTCCCCTCCCCCCGTCCGTCCTGATCCTCCCTCCCCCCTCCTGCTCCTGCATTCCACGAGGCTCGAGGATAGAACCTTGGTGTTTTTCAGGCTTCTGGGGGCTTCCCAGGAGCCTTCCTCCTTTCCTTCCCTCCTCTGTCTTCCTTCCCTTTGGGCTGGACGACAGTGGAGAGGGGGGGGGAGAGGGGGGTTACTAAAGATGCTGCATGCAGCTGGTCTCGGCCGCGCCACCAATGCCTTTCCTCGATACGCTAGAGTCTCCGGCGATGGGAGGCGCCAGGAAAGCCAGCTAATTACGTGGCCTGATTCGCGTCCGACCCGCCTGCATCCTTATTGCCTCTCTTCTCCCTCCTGCTCCGGCCTTCCTCGATGCGCCAGGATGCAGCCTTGTTGACCGTTTTTGGGCCTTCATGGGCCTCTGGAGCCTCCAGAGAACTCCGTAGATACCTCCTCCCGACCGCCTCCCTCCCGCCTTCCCTCTCTTCCTCCTTCCCGCTCTCTCTCTCTCTCTCTCTTTCTCTCTTCCATCCGTCCTCCCTCCGGCTCTTCCCACTCACCCACCCGAGCACGTCCCAGCCACAGCGCCGGAGTGGCTGGGGAAGGTACTTGTCTGGCTGCGGTGTGGAAGGGCACGTGCGCCCACGCGCCCACCGCTCCCCTTCCCGTTCTTCGGCAGGCGTCGTCTTGACGCCCTCTTGCGCCGTCGCGGCAGTGACCGACTCCGCCCTCCCTCCACCTGGGCCCCCCGCCGTGCAGGCTCTGCCTGAGCTACGGCGTGGTGTTCGTCGCCCAGCTGCTGCGGGCTCTCGCCAGGCCGCCTCTGCGCGCGCCGGCCGCCCGTCTTCCAAGCGGGCAGGTGGACTCGAGCAAGAAGCCATGCGCCAGCCCTTGGCACGGCGCCTGGGCATACGGTCGAAATGATTCCCTACTTGTGCACTTCATTCAGTATGGGGCCTGGGAGAGGAGCTGGGCTCGACGCTGGCCCAAAACGGCCCCCACGGATGCGGCCAGGGCGCGTCGGCTCCAGTGCCGCTGCCAGGGACGCCTTGCAGCGATGCCACCATCGACTCCCCGAAACGGTCGCACCCGCGCGGCAAGCCACGCGATCAGCTTTCTCGAGGCGGAACCGTGGGTCAAGACGAGCCCGGTGCGAGGGCGAGGGGAGAGCGGGGGCGGGAACAGGGAGATGGGGGGGAGGAGGTTCAGGGTCTGTCAGACCGGACCTTTCACCAGGGAGGTATGGGCGACCTTCCACGCAAACAACCAAACAACATATACATGCCTGCTGTTTAAGGTGGGCAACCTGCTTCGTACATGCCTTGGCGTTTGTTGAGTGCTGCTCTTCTCCTGGGCATACCTGCAGCGATGGAGCATTCAGCCCCACCCCAAGGGTTCTCTTCACAGTGAAATCGAAAACTTTTCATTGTGAGTGAGTAAAACTTTGAACTGCATTCTACGTGTTGCTTCCTACGTCGTATTTTCTGCGTCGTGAGTTCTACGTAGTGTTTCCTACGTAGTGTGTTCTACGTCGTGTTTCCTACAGGGTTGATGGCCTCTATTAGCCTCTGAGCCGCTCTGTTAGACGCTCTTTGAGCTGCTCTACTAGGCGCTCTGTGAGCCTTTCCGTGGGCCGCTCGATTAGGCGCTGTACTAGGCGCTCGATTAGGCGCTGTAATAGGCGCTGTGTTAGGCTCTCTATGAGGCGCTGTACTAGGCGCTGTAAAATTAAAAATCGAAACCTGAAAGCCCGCAAACAGGAACCCGAAGCCAGAACATCCCAGGCAGTCGAACCCGAAAGCCAGCCCGAAACGAGGAACCAAGAAAATCGGAAATCCGAAGCCAGACAACCGAAACCCGAATGCCGGCCCGAATTGCGGAACCAAACAAATCGGAAATCCGAAGCCAGAACATCGAATCCCGACAGCCAGCCCGAAACGCGGAACGCAAAACATAGGAAATTCAAAGCCAGAGAGTCGAAACCGAAAAGCCAGCCCGAAACGCGGAACCCCAAACACCGGAAATCCGAAGCCAGAACACCGAAGCCCGAAAGCCGGTCCTAAACGAAAAACCCTAAAACCGGAAATCCGAAGCCAGAAAGCCGAAACCCGAAAGCCTCCGAAACGCGGAACCCAAACATTCAAAGTCCGAAGCCAGAAAACTCAAACTTGAAAGCTGGGTCCGAATTGCGGAGCCCACGTAAGCAGTTTTGGTTCTACGCAGTGTTTTCAACGTGGTGTTTTCTCCGCAGTGATTTCTACGTGGTGTTTTACGCTTCGTGTTTTGGCAGGCGCCTTCAAATTGTCGCTCTTAGAAGTGAGCGCTTTCGCTTGTGGTCGAGTGAA